ACCTTGAGTCCTGAGAAATGAAGCTAACTATAGCTCTAGCCACGTTCTTCCTTTTATCTCTTCAGAAACCCTGTTTCTCGTATGCATATATACCTATGGATATTAATTCCCAGATAGCGAGAAAAAAAAAAGGGGATATTAACATATATCTAAGACTCTCCCATAGATAATGAGAAGACATATAGATAAATAGATAGATAGATGTAGATAAATACCACTTAAAACACGCTCATAATGCATATCCAGCTCTTTGCAGCTTTTTTCCACAACCACAGTTTCCAGGATGTTCACGTACAGATTCCAACTACTGCTACAGTTTTTCTTCTCTTTTTTTCCATCCCTTTGATTTGATCAGTCTAAAAGACCTAAATGTTTGAATATCTTCCAGATCATGTAAAAGAAGCTGCTAAAATTTTCTTCACTCTTTTAGAATAGACAGAGGCTAAGATACATGAACTTGTAAGGTTAAATAGTCTAGCTATTATAAATGTGAATAAGAGACTTTCTGGTCCTGTTTTGTCAAAAGTCTATTGCTTGAGGCAAAGAATATATAATTGTCATCTGATTTTTTTTGGTTAAATGTCATTTTTAGTCCTTAAACTTTTAATTTTAAACATTTTTAGTTCTTAAATTATTTTTTTTATTTTTTTTGTCCTTGAACTATGAAAAAAGTACTTGTTTTAATTCTTTCATCAATTAATTTATTAAGTTTATCCCTATATGCCTATATAGATAGACTTATTTGCCAATATATATACATATAGATTTAACAGAGACAAAAATTTAGACTAAAAAATGTATTTTTAATAGTTTAAGGACAAAAAGTGCAAAAAATAGTTAGAAATTAAAATGTTTAAAATTAAAAGTTTAGACACTAAAAATGACATTCAACTTTTCTTTTTCTTATTTTGATTATTATTAAAATCATTAATTTTTTGTTTTGATGCTGTTAAGTTCTTGCCCATTCAAAATTTTAGTTGCTTACAAGAAAAAATATTGTGCAGTATAGATTATATTAAACTACACAATTATAATTATTAGATGAAAGTAAGCCCCTTATCTAATGGTTTTTATTTAATAATCTGGTATAATTTTAACTATAAAATAGGTATATACTCTCTTTTTCTTTCCTATAATACTTTTTTTTATATAATAAAAAATAAACCCTTTATCATCTCAATTTTACATACCTATGATTTAAACTTAAGATCTCTTAATCTCCTTGAAGCAAATACTATTATTGGATTGCTTATATCATTGGCATAATGCCTTTTGTTTATCATCTATTATAAAGATAAAACAGTAATTATTATTTTAATTAATTAATTAATTTAACCCTTACTTTTTTTCTTTTTTTCTTTTTTTGAACAAATGTCATGAGGTCAAATTGAATCGTTGTCCGAGAGAAGGGGGGGTGAACTTTTAGAGTGCCGGAGATCACTTGGCCCTATAGGCTAGGTTCAATTTAACCCTTACTTACTAATGAGAATAGTATAAAATAAAATATATTGATGAGGTAGAGCTTTAAATTATAGGGTTAAAATACAAATAAAAAATTAATGTATCTTGAAAAATGTGATTAAAAAATTAATTTAAATCAAAAAAATTGTCTCCATAAAATTGAAAGACAAAATTTTTGTAAAAAAGGGAAGAAAGAAAGACATCATAATACAAATAAAGTAACCAACAGAATTTAGTAGAATTAGTACCTACTAGTATAAAAGTCTTGATTTTAACTTAAGATTAAAAATTCAAAACTATGTATTCTTAGCCAGCACCTTCCAATGTATCAAAAAAAATATAGATAAAGTAAGGTTTTGTTTAATATAGTTATGATTTTGAGTTTTTAGTTTTGATTTTTAAAAATTTAGAAATCTTAAAATAAAATTAAGAAATTTTATAAATTAATTAATTAAGTTTGAAGTTAAAAACATTGATTTAAAGTTAAAGTAAGAGTTTCAAATCTCTATAATACTAAGTAGTTAACTCCTCAAATCTCCAATATACCCCCCCAAAAAAATTTTAAGTTTTAGGAATTAGTTCTAAAAATTTATATCCAATAAGTTGTAAGTTTTTATTTTTAGTTTTAAATTTTAATAATTTATTTTAATTATTTGAATTTTAAAAACCAAAATTAAAAATTAAAAAGTCTAAATTAATCTATACTCCTTTACCTTCCTTCCTCTGTGGTTGGGTAATTCATAACAAATCAGTCAAAGATTAAGTGAAAATATTTAGGACTATGCCTAAATTTTCAAAGGCTGCTTTACCTTTATACAAAACAAACCATCAAATAAATATTTACCAGGAAGCACAATAACTAGTCACTATAAAATCTATAGTTTGAATAATTAAGGTTTGGAGTTTCAATCTCGAAAATTGCTAATTAAAGCACATGTAGCTCCATAGAGTTTTCCAAATGACAAGGGATGTCTAACCCTAGTACAAAAGCAAATCTAATCTAAATCTAAAGTAATATAATTAAGGAGAGTAGAGTTCTTCCTTTGTCTTCCTTCTCTTTTTTGATAGAAAATAGAGATTATATTTAAATAAAAGAGATTACAACTGAATTTTCATTTAAGACACTATAACCTAATTAAAATTAGAAGTGTAATGTAAGACCAATGTTTTAAAACCCAAATCGGAGATCAAACCATTTTTACCTTTGGTTCACGATTTGAATAGTTTAACCGATTTAACCATTAAAACCATCAGGTCAATCAAACTATTATAAATATATTATTCTGCAAAATATTTCACTAAGTGATGGTTGGGTGTAGTGATAGGTAGTTGATTTCTTATTTGATCACAAGTTCGAGCCCTTTTGAGAACAAATTTTAATATAATTGTGGTTTTAAAGATTAAATAAATATATTGTAAAGCAAAAAATAACAAATAAAAGGTTGTGTCTTAAGTGGAAGAGTTTTTGTTCTATATTTTGGGGAATGGGTATTCAAATCTCATGGCTATCATTAATAATTTCGTTCAAAGCTTTGAGATTTTTATTTGATAAATGAAATTTCAAGTATCCATTGACACAAGAATTGCATCGCTCTAGTGGTAAAAGAATCAAAATAATAGTTTCGAGGTTGCAAGTTCAAGCTCAAGGAAGACAAATTTCTCAAGATTTTATGCCCAGGTATTGAACCGACTAGTTGAATGGTTTATTAATTTGAGTGGTTTTAATGGTTTTTATTGGTTTTAAGCAGGTTAACCATTCAAACGATTTAAAGAGTACACTCAAACCATTTATACCATTGAGTGTCGGTTCAATTGATCCAACTAGCCAATCTGATCCGATTTTTAAAACTATTTGTAAGAAATTAGTGATTGATTTAAATTATTCATTTGATAGATATAAACAATTAAATAAATAAAGTTATTTATAATTAACTATTGCAATAGCATTCATCATATA